CATGTCACCCCGCTCTCCGATTTGGAGGGAAGCGGTTGATGGAGAACGCTTTCCTCCCCCACCCTCCCTTGGGGCCTGTGGCAAGTATGTGTCTGCTGAGGAATTCACAGTAGGTATCTTGAGTTGGGCCACTGTGGATCTGCACTGCGCTGTGATCTCCCTCTTTTCTCCTCTTCTGAGCCCTACTGGGCAACATGGTTTCTTCCAGAGCTAATTTTCATTCATATGCAGGAAAGGAAAAAGCAACAGCAGGGATAAATAAGGTTCACAAACAGAAAACCACCAACAGCTCTACCCCAACTCTTGTTGCCAAGTAACCATGTTGACAGCCTAGATTTTTATTCCCTTTCCTCCAATTTTTTCCCCATGAAATGAAAGGACTGAAAGGGAAAAAAAAACTGTCTCCTAAATAACAAAAAAGGGACAAAAATGATAACTGGCAAAGTCATATCCCTACAGGATTTACGGAAAGTAAATGATTTCTTCTCACATCTCCCTCCCAGTATTTACAGTCAGGCAAGTGCTCTGGATGATGTATTGGTGCAGAGCGGGCCCTGCAGGGGATGTCAGGGAAGTGATATTCCTAACGCTTTCTGCTTTGCCTCATTTCCCCTTTCTCCTATGGCCTTTTAACTCCTCCCTGGCATCTTTGTGTTCGCTTGTCCAATGATTTAACTAACAGAGTGAGGGCTCCTTCTTCCTCTGGCTTCTGTAGAAATCCTATGGCTGTCCCTGGGAGCCCAGATCACCTACATTGGACTTCAATGCATCAGTTTCCTCCTGCTACTGACCGACTTGCTGCTCTCGGGGAACCCGGGCTGTGGGCTCAAGCTGAGCGCTTTTGCTGCTGTGTCCTCTGTCCTATCTGGTGAGTGAGTGGAGAGGGGGTGGGCAGCCACCCTGGGAACATTAGCTGGAGGAAGGGAGAGCCCAAAGGTGGTATAAAGAATGGAGGTAGGAGATCATTACAGACGCCTTTAATTTCAAATTGAAATAACATGTGAATTTGTATATTGGGTCATTATAAACTACCTCCAGCTGTCTCAAGTAAAATCTATCTGGTTTACTTTTCAGTTGTGACATTCACACAGCTTTTCAAGACTGGGCTCTGCTGGATAGAGGGAGAGATACGTCTATAAGATGAAGAAATAAGCCAACATTGGGAGTGAGGGTGGGGGATAAAAAAGGGGAACAACACCCTGGGGCACAGCATAGACTTGGGGGCTTTTATCGTAGCTTTCAGCCTAAAGTTTAGAGTAACCCATTTCAAAGAAAAACAGTCAAGGAGAAGCCCCCATTGCAGATTTGTCTTCCGGGAAATGTGGGGCCATTAAAGGCAATAGCTGCTTCAGCATAAGCTTGCACCTGATGCCAAATGATGGGATTGCTCTGAAATGAGATTCCTGGTAGATGGCATGACGGCCTTTCTCTAAGGGCTCTGCCTACCTGTTCCCTCCATAGGTCTTCTGGGAATGGTGGCACATATGATGTATTCACAAGTCTTCCAGGCAACTGTCAATTTGGGTCCAGAAGACTGGAGACCGCATGCTTGGACCTACGGCTGGGCCTTCTAGTAAGTGCTTGTTACCTCCTGAATATTTCTGGCCCCCTGCCCGGTCAGCCTTCATTAGGTTGTCCACCCTCAACTAGATGCTTGCTCTGTCCTCCTGCCTCCTTCTCATCCCTTACCCCTGGAGTCTGTCAGTCCAACACAGGGCTAGGTCATCAGGATACACCCCTTCTTTCCTCGCCTTCCGAGGAGGTGCGCAGAGGATTCTTCTGAATAGTTTTAGGAGGCTGTCTTGTCCATTTTTTCTGCTCATCTGCTGTGGGAATTGCTTCTTCACCTAATATGGATATTGCCCTTGAGAAATGAGACTGATTTTGTAAAGCTTAGAAAATGGTGCTTTTATTAATTATTTTAATTTTATGATTCAAGGTATTGGAGGCCAGAGAGAGAATTAGTCTTGAAATTTGGATTGAATTCCATTCCCCGTGAATGGCTCACTCTTCTCCTGTAATAAAGAGTAACTTCTTCCTCCTATCTCCATTCTTACTACCAAACTGTGTTAGAAATAAAACTTCAGGCTCAGCACCTGTAGCTCAAGCGGCTAAGGCACCAGCCACATACACCAGAGCTGGCGGGTTCGAATCCAGCCCAGGGCCTGCCAAACAACAATAACAGCTGCAACCAAAAAATAGCCAGGCATTGTGGTGGGCGCCTGTGGTCCCAGCTACTTAGTAGGCCGTGGCAAGAGATTCGCTTAAATCCAGGAGTGGGAGGTTGCTGTGAGCTGTGATAAGGCACTCTACCCAGGGGGACAGCTTGAGGCTCTGTCTCAAAAAAAAAAAAAA